TCTTCACTTTATTATGGTCCCCCCCCCACCTCAGTCAAATGCCTTGGCATAGTCAATAGAACACAATAAATATCTTTCTAGTATTCTCTATTTTCATCCAACATCCATCTGACATCAGCAATGATATCCCTTGTTCCACGTCCTCTTCTGAATCTGGTCTGAATGACTGGCAGTTCCCTGTCAAGGTGCTACTGCAATCATTCTTGGATGGTCGTCAGCAACATTTTACTTATGGGCAATATCAATGATAGTGTTCTGTAGTTTAAGCATCCTGTTGGATCCCCTTTCTTTGGAATGGGCACAAATATGGATCTCTTCCAGTCAGTTGGCCAAGTAGCTGTCTTCCGAATCTCTTGGCCTAAGTAAGTGAGTGCTTCCAGTGTTTCTTCATCCTGCTGAAACATTCAGTGGGTATTTCCTCAGTTCCTGAAGCCTTGTTTTTGGAATGGAATGCATTCAGTGTTGTAGACAGCCTCACCTTCTTCCTTCAGCACCATTGGTTCTTGCTTATCTGCAACCTCCAGAAATGGTGGAATGTCAACTAGTTCTTTTTGATACAGTGACTGTGTGTTTTTTCTATCTTCTCTTGATGCTTCCTGCATCATTCAATATTTTGCCTATAGAATCCTTAAGATTGCAACTCGAGCCTTGAATGTTTTCTCGAGTTCTTACAGTTTCAGATATACTGAAGTGCATTCTTCCTTCTTGGTTTTTCTAATTATAGGTCTTTGCACATTATAATGATAATATTTCATGATAATATTTGGCTTTGTCTTCTTGAGCTGCCCTTTGAAGTTTTCCATTTAACTCTTTGACTTCACCTTTTCTTCCATTTGATTCAGCTGCTCTACAGTTAAGAGCGAGTTCCAGAGTCTCGGCCATCATCCACTTTGATCCCCTTTCTCTCCTGTCTTTCTAATGACCTTTTGCTTCTTCATGAATGGTCGTCTTGACGACTTCCCACAGCTCATCAGGTCTTTTGTCGTTAGTGTTCAATGCATCATATCTGTTCTGGAGATGTTCTTGAAATTCATGTAGGATAGACTCGAGGACATATTTTGGCTCTTGTGGATTTGTTTTAGTTTTCTTCAGCTTCACACTGAAATTACATATAAGCAATTCATGCTCTGTTCCACAGTCTACCCCTGGTCTGATTTTAGCTGCTGATATTGAGCTTCTCTATCGTGTCTTCCCACAGACGTAGTCAATTTGATTTCTGTGTATTCCATCTGGGGAAGTCCATGTGTTCTGTCACCTTTTGTGTTGTTGAAAACAAGGTATTTGTTACAAACAAGTTATTAATTTTGCAAAATTCTAGCACATGATCTCCAATTTCATTTCTATCACCAAGACCACATTTTCCAACTACTGGTCCTTCATCTTTGTTTCAAACGTTTGCATCCCAATTGCAATAATTATCAGTGCATCTTTATAACATGTATGATCAATTTCTGACTGAAGTCATTGGTAGAATTCTTCAGTTGCTGCATCACTAGCTTTTGTAGTTGGTGCATACATTTGAATAATAGTTGTATTGATTGGATTTCCTTGAAGGCAAATATATATAGTCCTATCACAGACAGCATTGAACTTCATGATTGATATTCCAGTGTCCTTTTTGACGATGCATATCATGCCATTTCTCTAGATTGTGTTCTTTCTGTCATAGTCAATCCTGATTTTCTGATTAAAAAATGGCTATTACCAGTTCATTTTAGCTCACAAATGCCTAGGATATCGATCTTGATACATTCCATTTCACTTTTGATGGCTTCCAAGTTTCCTAGATTCATACTTTGCACATTCCAAGTTTTGATCATTAGATGTTTGCAGCTGTTTCTCCCACCGTGAGCCGTGTCTCATCGGCACATGAAGATCCTGAAGATTCCACTCCCACAGGCTTCCCCACAGGCTTCACCACGGTCCACTGCACTCTGAGAAATCAGATCCTCCTCCGTCACAATTCCAGTGCCCGCCGACCGGAGGAGCGCACCCCTCCTGTGGCACGATCTCAGACAGTGCTCTGCTTCCATTCACTGGGCCTTCTGTATCTGACAATGTTTCCAAGCACATAAGGTTTTCAGCGGCTCCTTCCTTTGAAGCTGGGAGCTAAGTCCTTCTTTGCCTGTTCCTAGTCTGGAAGCTCCGCTGAAACCTGTTCACCTTGGGTGACCTTGCTGGCATTTGAAATCCCGGTGAACAGAGCACCCAGCATCACAGCCACCACAGTACGACACACTCAGACAAAGGGTGGCCTGTGCCAGGAAGTCCTGAAATTACATGAACTGAAGTTACATTTAATTCTCTCACTCCCTGACTAGGCTGGCACGAGAGTTAGGTGGTGTGGGTTTGAGTCTCAGCTTTCATTTGACCCTCACGTGGGGGTGGCAATAGTACCTGCCTCACAGGGTTAATGTGACAGGGAAGTAGTTGGAGTCACAAGTAGAGCAGAGTACGGAGCACATACATGTTAGCTTTTAGCATCATTAGCATCATTGCAGATCAGGCCCAGATGGCCCAAAGCAGTGCAGGCAGTGGCTGAGGTCAGAGTCAGGGCTGCTGGGATAGCCCTGACTCTTCAGCCCCACATTGTGGCTCCCATCCAGCTAGGAGGGAGATGGCTTCCTGCAGCTGTGGTGTCCCTTCCCCTAGTTGCCCACTGCCCCAGGCAGACACAGCGCGGCCTGTGCTCCTCGGGCTGCGGGCATGAGCCAACCTCTGAAGCATCCAGTGGTTCTCTGTCTGCGTGCTGGCCAGCTGGCCAGCTGGGAGGCTGGGGCCAGGCTCTTCCCACGAACTCTCCTCGCTGGCCAGTTCCAGGGGCAGTTGAGGGCACCGTGTCCTCAGCCAGCGATTGGATTCATATCCTGACTGGGTCCGGCTCCCAGCTTGTTCCCTTGGGCCTCAGCTTCCCTAGCAGGGCAACAAGGGGTCTGGGCATGTGGATGTAGAGGCACGGAACCTCAGCAGTTCGAAGCTTCCAGCTGCTCTGAGGGAGAAAGACGAGTCTCTCTACTTCCGTAAAGAGTTACCATCTCGGAAACCCACTGGAGCAGCTCTACTCGATCCTATAGGGTCACTGTGAGTCGGTGAGCCTTTTTGAGTGGGTTCTTAAACCTAGTTCTGCTTGAGAACTTTCCTTCTTGGGGCTTTGTTTCCCTCATCTGTACAGTGGGAATAGCCTTGGCCCTCCTTCCTCCCAGAGATGTGGTGCGAATTCCATCAAATAAGGTGTGCGAAGCTTTGTGGTCGGGTTTGGCATGGAGGAGGCACACAGCAATGCGGATACCCTTCTAGCAAGGTCGTTGTCATCACCATCATCATCATCATGCCTGCTTGAACCTGGACACCTGTTGCCATTTGCTCCTCTCTTTGGACAAGGCCATAAGGTATGTTCTAGATAGAATATGGACATGTCTGCATTCAAATCCCAGCTCCTCTCTCTCTCCAGAGCTCCTCCCAGCTCTGTAGCCTCAAGCAGCAAGAGCCTTCCTTCTCCTCTATGGGCCTCCGTTTCCATATCTGTACAATGGAGCTTCCTGGGGTTGCTAGGTGAGGGGGTAGGAATAATGGCTGTCCACCCTAACATCCTCCCCCACAAACAGTACGGTCACCCCTTCTCCCTCCTCACCAAACTCGGGCAGAGGCCTCTGTTCTGAGGGTGCTCAGCCCCACCCTTTTCCTCTGCAACTCCTGCCCCCTTGCTCAGGAGGCAGAGGAAAGAGAGACAAGAAAAGGTAGCGCGAAGCAAAAACGGAAAGGGCCTTGCTAAGACGCATTGAATACACAGTGGCTGCAGCAACGGGCTCAAACACAGCCACTGCGAGGCTGGCGGAAGCTGGCCAGGGCTGCCTTTTGCTGTACACCGGTGGCTCTGAGGTGAAGCTCGCTCCATAGCGCCTACTAACCCTAACCCTTGTTGGGCTCTGTGGCTTTGACTTTGTGTGGGCCCCTCTCAGGTCCTGTTTCCCCGAACTGCCATAATGGGCTGTCATGGTTCCAGATCCTCAGCCCGGGGCCTTCTGGGGTGGCCCTGCCCCGCTGAAGTGTCCTGCAGGGAAGATGCTTGTGGAAAGGGGCACAGCTCTGATGGGATTCTTGGCCAGAGTTCCAAGTGCCAGAGGACTTCAAAGGGTTCATGGAAAACTGGCATGGAAGGACAGTGCCATGTGCCCATGAACTTTTGGAAGCCTCTCCTCATATAAGAAGCAGGTGATGGCTGAGGATCTTTGGAGAGCTACCATCGGGGTCCCTGAGAGGCCAACTGGTTTATGGGACAGGCTGGGCTTAGAGGTGCGCTGGATCTTCTTGAATTAAAACGAACTTCACTGCCATTGAGTCGATGCCCACTCACAGCGGCCCTCTGCCCCACTCTTTACAGGAGTAGAAAGCTTCACCTTTTTCCCACCGAGCAGCTGGTGGTTTCGAACCTTGCAGTTAGTAGTCGGACGCAGACCAAAGCACAACTCGATATGCCACCAGGCTGCTCAGACCTGGTCTGAGAGGTGACAATCTCTCAGGTTCCCTTCTGAAAAGGGTGGGCCGTGTTCCTTCCCCTCTCGTGCTGGAGTGACCCAGCTTCTAGGAACGACTTGTGGGCGGGGCCTGCGCGGAGTCTGGGGGCCTTCCTTGCTCCTCCCCTTAGAGCTGGGGTCTGGGGTGGGGGGCAGCGACTGTGTATGGAGGGGTGGGGTCCAGGGTCTCAGAGAGTGCTGGGGTCTATGCAGGGTTGTCTAGGATTTCTGTGGGGGGCTGGAACTACGAAGGGAATCTTGGGATCCTGGTAGGGAGCTGGGGTCTGTGGATTGCGTGTGTATTGAGGATACAGGATCTCTTGGGGGTGGGGAAAGGGATAGGTGTGTGGATGAGGGTCCAGAATGTCTGCGAGGCTGGGGGAGGGGGGGCGCCTAGGATCTCTGCAGAAGGCTGAGGTCTGCGGGGGAGGGAGTGTCCAGGATCTGTGGGGGCCCGGGGTTTGCGCGGGGTACAGCCCGGCTCACCTTCTTGCAGAAGCGATGCAGGTAGAGCAGCGTCTCCAGGTCTGTGCGCTGCCGCTCGGCGGCCATGTAGAAGTGGGTCAGCTTTGTCTGGAAGGCCCGCTGGGTGGTGGCAAAGGCCGCCAGCTCCGGGAAGGTAGCACCGTCCACCTCGTCGGCCCCTCCAGTGGCCGCCCCGAGCTGCGCCGCCTGTTTAGACAGCTCCAGGCCATGGCGGTACTGCGCCTGCGCGGTGAGAGGAGGGCGTCCACTCAGCCCCACATATTCCTATCTCTGTCGCCTAGCAGCTGCCTTAGTGTCCTGATCACTCAGACGGGGACCCCGAGTATCTGTCCCGTACACCCACGTGGCTTGAGTACACGGTGGTCCAAAATGCCAGTCCGGAAAGGGCAGCCCGTGCAGAACCCCTGGGGCCCAGTTCTCCTTGGACCCCCCGGGCATCGCCAAGAGTTAGAACTGACTTAATGGTGACTGTTGGCTGTTTCCCCCACTGGCCTGGGGGTCGGGGTGGGGGTGGGCTGAGTGGAGGCTGCTTCACCAGAGGCTGTACCCCAGGGCCCCCTTCAAGGCTGGCTTCTCACCCCTGCTCTCCGACTCATAGTGCTGTATGGACAGAGAGGAACTGCCTCGGTAGTTTTCCGAGACTGTAAATCTTCACGGGAGTGGAAAGCCTCATCTTTCTCCCTCGGAGCAACTCATGGTTTCGAACTGCCAACCTTGTGGATAGCAGCCCAAGGTGTAACCCAAGGCGCTACCAGGGCTCCTAGGTTTAGGGTAGTGCCATGCAATCTGATCTTAAGAAACCTTTTAGCTATTCTGAGGCAAGCAGTCTTTGGACATGACATCCCTGGGAGGCTTCCCTGGAAGGAGAGACCAGCTGAGAGGAACTCTCTATGGTGGACACGGTTTTCCTCACTTTCCCACCTTGGTACCATGTTCTCAGGACCCCACCCCACACACACCCCCGCCACCCCCCAGAACTCACTGCCACTTGAAGGAAGAAGTCCTCGAACTCAGTGTGGATTTTCTCCACCGTCTCCAAGCTTCCCTCCTTGGGGGTCAGTGCTTGCAGGCACCGGCTTCCCTCCTGCTCCATCCAGCTGCTGACCTGGGGCAGGAGAGCCAGGCTTGGGCATGAAGGGCTGCTGGGGAGACAGCCCTCGCCCAGCTGCCCGATTCCTTGGAGCCTGAGGTCTTCTTGTCCTTGGTCACTCTGGGACCCGGCCTGTATCTATTGGGCTAGACTGAAGCCCACCCAAATCTGGCCAGGAGACAAGAGCACTTGGAAGGAAGACCTCCCAGGGGGCCCCCAGAGGGTTCCTGGACTGGCCCCGGGTCCTGTATGTAGTAGGACCTCAGGGCACACGTGGCTGAGGGAAGTCACTCCAACTACTTGGTGCTGCCCAGTCATAAGAGGGACTGGCTCAGGGGTGATGAGCTGCCTGTCCCTGGGGGTGTGCAAGCAGCCCCAGAGGGAGAGCTTGCCTGCTGTTGAAGAAAGTTCCGGGGCCTGCCACAAACACAGTGTGGACTGGCCCGAGTCCTTCCACTTTCTGGGGCTGACCTCAGTCGGTGCTAAGACCAGGATAGACGCAACCAAGAGCAAGGAGCAAAGCGGGGAGGGGCTGAGCAAAAGTCCCCTTTGTATTTTGGGGTGTCTTAATGAGCATCATTTCATCACCTCTCCTCACAAAACCCAACATTGCAGGTGTTAGCATCACCCCAGTTTTGCAGACGAGGAAACTGAGGCATGAGGTAGTTGGATAACTTCTCTAATCACAATACTAGTGAGTGGCAGCGTTGGGCTTGGAACCTGGGCCGTCGGGTCCCAAGCCCGCATGCATATGACTCTTGTCCACTGCCCCAGGTAGGAAGGCTTGTGCTGGTTCTAGGTTGGGCCTAGTGGCCACATGTGGCTTCAGGGCCAGATCCCCAGGTCTGCCACCAGGCAGGTAATGTGACATCTCCCAGCCTCTGTTTTTTGCACCTGTCCCTAATCACGGAGACATGTGGGCCCTCCTGCCTGGGGCTCGGTACACAGTTAGTGATCGATAAATGCAACCTTAGGGATTGTGTCTTTACTTGATGAGTGCTTACTGAGGATGCCTGCCTAACCCTTGCAGGGATCCCAGCCCTGGGTCCTTGCGCCGGAGCAAACTCCTGGCTGGGGCAGGGCCGGGAGGTGCGAGGTTGCTGTGAAGGGCAGCCACACAAGCCCCC